TGTTTTTGTGACAGAGTTTCATGCAGTCCAGGCTGGCCTGAAACATCCTCTGCAGCTGGGGTTGGCCTTGGACCTTCCTGATTGTCTTGTCCCTATTTCCCAAGTATGAGGTTTACAAACAGGCATGTGTCACCATGCCAAGCTCTTGAACTCACTGTTAAGGCCCGAAGTGATATTATGTCTACCTTTTTTTTTTATTTTTTTATTTTAAGTCATTAGACAAGCATTCACAGCCAGACAGGATAACAGCTAGCAAGATGGTGAAGAGCAAAGCCCAGGACTTGCTGTCCTTTCCTCTGCTTGTATTCTAACTCAAAGTAGACAAATACAGCTGGTCTGGGCTATATGGTGAAGCCCTGCCTGCCTCGAACAATTAAAAATAAACAGTGTTCAGCGTCGGCTAAAGTAAGGCTTGAGGGAACTAGTGAAACCACATGGTAAGAGAGAGAAGGAAGAGGAATCTGGAGCTGGTCATGGGAGAGCTGTGCATAGGCTGTGGAGCTCGTGAGCGGCATGCATTCCATTCCCTTGTGGGCACCATATTCCTGAGTAAATGCTCTTGCTCTGCTAAAATATTTAATTCATTGGAAGTTTCTATTGTCTGATATTATGGACTCCTTTTATGATGATTGTTAAAAGGTTCTCTGCATACTTATGTAATCATAATAGGAAGCCTTAGATATGATTTACTTTGGGAAAAATGATAATGTATGACAATCGGAAATATGATTAAATTGAGAAATTACACAGAGTCTTTTTAAGAACCCAGCTGTTGTAGAAAATGAGATATCTATATTTGCTTTCTGTCAGTGCTGCTGTAGGTTTTTTTTTTTTTTTTTTGGACAGCACATAATTGTAATGCAGTAAAAGGCTTGTGTGGAAACAGGGGAGTTGAATAATCTTACTAGAACATCATCAGGGTTTGTCATGTTGCTTTCTCTGCAAAGCAAATGAAAACATCTCATGTTGTGAGATACCGAAGCAGCCACAGAGCTTTCAGCGGCGCGATGGGGCAAGACGCTACAGGCGCCTACATTGTTCATGTTAGGATGGCTTGGTATGCCAGGAGAACTAGAGAGGCCAACACTCACAGTTCCATTAGTTTTGTTTGATGATGAAACCGCTTCCTCATACTCTAGCAGTGTTTCTTAGCAGCAAGTAGCTAATGGTATGACTGATACATGGATGTTAGCGTACATTCTGTACATATATACTTTAGACATGAGCAATATTGCCCTAATTTAAATGATTTCCCTTTGTTGTCAATGATGTACACATGTATTAAAGTAAAGTAATGCATTTTATGTCTTTTCGTCTACCAGACCAGGCATAGGCTTCCCTTTAGCCATTGCCCCTCTTTGTACAGTAGGAGACTCACAAAGAATTTAAGTTTAAATTTAAATATTCAATGTCTGTGTGAATCATGCCTGCAGAGCAGGAGGTTGTTGCCGGTGGTTGCATCTGGTTGTCTTATCGTCCTGGGAGAGTTGAGCTGTTACTGCCTCTCATTGCCAGTGTGGATGCTCTTCCAGCCTTTAACCATCTGCACCTTCCCCTGGAACATTTGTTTCATGCTCAGCCCGATTACACATGTGTCTTCAAGTGTGTGTGTGTGTGTGTGTGTGTGTGTGTGTGTGTTAAAGTAATAATTTTGTAGAGTGTTTTGACTGTTGAAAATTCTGTAGGGGATGAATATTTCCATTAATCCCACTGTCCATGTAAAAGTGCTGTTAATATTTTGCTGTCTCTTTCAGATTTCTTTCCTATGTATGTTTGTACTTGCTGGCACGCATGTGTGTAGTACTTAGCCCACAGAAAATGCCTTATAAATATGTGATTAGATAAGCAGTACGTACACACGTATGTATCTTATATGTTTATGTTTCTATTTTATTTTTAACTGTCAAACACTTTATTAGGATACAAATGTATATTATATATTTATATATAACGTTATATATTTACATATTACAATATAAACATATGTATATTATATTTAGAATATGTAAATACATTATAATATACGTGTACATATTATATATATGTGTGTGTGTGTTCATGTGAGTGCATGTGAATGAGGCTGCATCCGTGGAAGGCAGGGGTCAAGGTTAGGTGTCTTCTCAGCTGTTCTCTACCCTCTTTTTTCTTTTGAGACATGCACTCTTACTGAACCTGGAGACCACCAATTTGGGTAGTACCCAGGAAGCCCCAGGAATCCGACTATCTTTGCCTCCCAGGCACTGGACAGCAAGCACTTTCAAGGGGGTGACAGCAATCAAACTCAGGTCTGCAGGCTTGCAGGAAAAACACTTTACAGCTGAGCGTTCTTCTGGGCCTTAATGGGGCATTGTGATATGTGTTTGTATTGTAGAAAGATTAATTAAAGATAATTAACATATCTGTCATCTGACCTAATTACCAGTTTTTAAAGGTGAGAACACAGGAATTCTCTCTCTTTCTCCTTTTCTCTCTATCTCTTGTGTGTGTGTATGTGTGTTAGCAGCTTTGAAGTCTGCAATATCAGCTGTAGTCACCATGTTATTTGATAAGTCCTTAAAACTCATTCCTTCTAGGTTACTGAAGCTGTTGACAAGCGTGTCTCCTTTTCATCTACTGTTTGCCATCTCTTGTAGCCATCTTTATGCTCTCCGATTCTGAGTTTGATTCTATTTTAAACTCCACAGATAAATGGGACCATACCACACTTGGCTGCTCATGCCCACATTACTTTATATCTCAAATAGCAAAAATATGGGCACAAAGGATTCTATGAACTCTTAATGACACAATTAGCTATCAAAGCATTCAATTAAATAAATAGAGGATTTGATATATTTAATCACCATATATATGTGTGTTTCTGTTACATATGTGTGTTATGTGTGTGTTTGATATAACCTTCCCCCATGTTAATTCTGTTTTGTCCCCTTGCACTTCTGTCCATGCACACTTTACTAGTGACATTTATTAACACACAGCTACTTTCTTCATTGATTATTCTAGAGGCACAAACTGTAATTTTAAAGCCATTGTTGGTTTTTGCTGAATTTTTATTATTTTAAAATGGTAAGTTTGTCCCTGTTCCAATGTCCATCCTGTTTGCCTTTCTGAGTGAAGATTGAGCATCTTACCCAGGGTCCTTCTTGCTTAGCTTCCTTAGGTGTACAGATTTTAGTATGATTATCCTATATTATATGTCTAATATTCACTTATAAGTGAGTATATACCATGTGTGTCTTTCTGCTTCTGGGATACCTCACTCAGGATGATCTTTTCTAGATCCCACCATTTGCCTGCAAATTTCATGATTTCTTTGTTTTTAATTGCTGAGTAGTATCCCATTGTATAAATGTACCATAATTTCTGTATCCATTCTTCAACCGAGGGACATCTGGGTTGTTTCCAGATTCTGGCTATTACATATAAAGCTGCTATGAACATGGTTGAGCTAATGTCCTTGTTGTATACTTCAGCATCTTTTGGATATATGCCTAGGAGTGGTATAGCTGGGTCTTGAGGTAGCACTATTCCTATTTGCCAGAGAAAGTGCCAGATTGATTTCCAAAGTGGTTGTACAAGTTTGCATTCCCACCAGCAATGGAGTAGGACAGGAGTCTATGACTGAAAGCCTCTGAAAGCCTCTACTCAGCAGGGTATCAAAATATATGCTGAGATTCATAACCAAACTTTGGGCAGAGTGCAGGAAATCTTATGAAAGAAGGGGGAGATAGAAAGACCTGGAGGGAAGAGTTGCTGCACAAAGTGAGCAACAGAACCAAAAAATCCAGGTACAGGGGTCTTTTGTGAGACTGATAATCCAAATAAGGACCATGCATGGAGATAACCTAGATCCCCTGCACAGATTAGCTCATAGCAGCTCAGTAGCCAAGTGGGTTCCCTACTAATGGGAACAGAGACTGTCTCTGACATGAACTCAGTGCCTGGCTCTTTGATCACCTCCACCTGAGTTGGGGAGCAGCCTTACCAGTCCACAGAGAAAGACAATGAAGCCAGTCCTGATGAGAACTGATAGGCTAGGGTCAGATGGAAGGGGAGGAGGCCCTCCCTTATCATTGGACTGGAGGAGGACCATAGGAGAAGAAGAGAGAGGGAGGGAGGGAGGGATTGGGCGGGAATGGGGGATGGGGCTACAGTTGGGATACAAAGTGAATAAACTGTAATTAATAAAAAAATAAAATTTTAAAAAAATGTTAAGTTTGAATTTTGACTCTCAAATATTCATCTATAAAATTTTGAAAGCAAAAATTCAGAGCAGGAGGGTCATTGGAAAATAAATTATTTAGTTCCTAATGCTGACTTTATGAGAACTATCCTTTCTATATCGTTTAATCTACCCCATGTTCGTCAAAAGAAAGTTTTGTTTTCAAAACTGCATTTCCCTCCTCGGCACTCTATTGTTTACATGACCTTTGCATGCTCTGAGACAGTTGTGAATTATTATTAAGTGAGGAATCCATATAAAACATCTAATTAGCTCCATGATGAAAAGTTAGCTTATTTCTCGTGTCTTGTAACCTTGTGGAGAACTAGCATAAGTCCTGTGTTTATTCACTTTGGTGGTCTACTGTGAGCCCATTAAGACAAATTTCTACAAGAATTGCCACATCCAAAGCAAGGCAGTTGACAAGTATCATCACATTGCCTTCAGATGCTGACACCAACTGACACCCACTAAAAGCAGCATGAAGATGAGAGGAGGGGATTAAAAATCTTCTGCTAGCGTCTTTATGGATGCCAACTGTAACCTATGTGAAGTGTGTCCATGAGCTTAACTCCTGAGAGGGGAAGCTCAATGAGGAGTCATTGATGGGGGAAGGTTCCTATTTACAGGAAATGAGGGGTGATGTCCTAAGTAGTTGCAGCTCTTATGATCCCCATCTTAAGCAGCCTGCTTTTTGAGTTTCTCTTCAGTTACATTTTATTCTATTTTTATTCCATAAAGAGTTGCTTCAAGAAAAGTGTCATATTTTCTCTTCTAGAACCTTGTGTGACTACACAGGAAACCTGGTCCTGGGACCAATACTTAAAAGAATGGAATGCTGTGGCCGCACCAGTTGAGCTGTTTTCCAAGGTCAGACTTAAGTCTTTTCAAGGGGATTTAATTGGAAAATTCAATTGAAATTAAATCCTTTGCCTCTATAGCTTAAATTAGTGAATTTGTGGGCAGGGGTAGGAAATGACTCATCACAGCTACTCAGAACCTTAGTGTTTCAGCCTTGTATACTAGAGCTGGGTTTGCAGCCTAGCACTGTTACCTACCATCTCTGTGACTCCTAGGCAAGTCATTCAACCTTTCTGTGCCTCAGTTTCCTCACCTGTAAGATATTAAAGAGACCTACCTCTTTCCTTGGATTTTGGAGGGCTAGGTAAGTTGAACACAAAGTACATAGAATACAGTTTGCACATTAAGTGTCACCTTCTGTGTCAGTCTTCAAATCTTCATTTTCTTAGCTGTATATCATTTGTGTCCGTTCAAGGGTTATGTTACATAAATCTATTTTCATGTGATGAGTTACAGTAGTGGATTAAGATAAAAAGACAGTGGGACCCCCAGATCACATCATTCCAACTAGGACAGACTTGCTTGATTGAAAGCTTGGGCATCAGAGCCTCATGATTGTGTTCAAGGACTCTTGTGTACTCAAAATTTACATCATTATGGTGCATTTTAACCTTCTGTGAGAGGTGAACCTTGTACTTGCTATACTTCTCACAGCATATGTTGTGATGCTTCTGGCATCTGTTGCTGGTGAAAGGACCAGTAATTATAATTGCGGATGTAGCAATGGATAGGGAGAAAGGACATTAAAGAGGAAGGAAAAGAGAGAGAGTCCAAGTCCTGGTACCTCACAGTGAACAAGCATAACCTTTTTATTTAATTTTTGCCATGTAGGTTAGTGGCTTCCATAATGAACTAGTGTGAAGGCCGTGCCATGGAAACTGAGAGCATCTAGAGTTGGGATTATAGCCAAGTCTACATATCAGATGGAAAGCACAGAAGTGCTAGTATTCTCAAGACCTGCCAAAGCAGACTCTCAGGGAGCAAGGCAGGGAAACATGATGAGGAAGCCTCCCAGGGCATTCTGCATCCGGCTCTGAGGTCTGCTGCCTTGCGGGGCATAAGGGAAGTGCAGGTCTTGCTTACCACTCAGGACCCTACCACACACACCCTTCCTTTTGCTGTTTCATGACGAGACTTGGGGTATTTATCCCATCACAATTATGAGAGTCCCTAGCATCATCATAAGTGCCAGGCAGGTGCGTGTCTGTTTCTTGTGTGTCTCTTAGTCTCTGCGATGAGCAGGCGTGTATGATTTCATAATGTTGAGTGACTTCTGAGACACCTTTGTTACTTCTGAGAAGAGAAGGGTCTTTAAAGAAGGTGGCCTGGACCAAAATGGCCTTTCCCCCTCTGCCTGTGCCCACCTCATACCCAGGGTGTAGGATCATTGTATGTCCATAGACAGAGTAGCCCAGCAGAGGATAGATGCCTGAGGGCAGATGAAGTCTGGGCGCACCCGGGATGTGATGTTCACCACAGGGCACAGGTAAAGCTGGAGACTCTGTGCCTAGATTTGATAGTGTTACTTTCCAGAGCCATAAGGTAACTAGAAGCTGCTGCTGAAGGAATAATGACTGAAACATTATTACATGCTTATTACATGTGGCAAAATTGCCTGCAGAGAGCATGGTGCCTTAGGAAACAGAGTTGTACTGCGTCCTTGGATCAGGGTCCTTGAGCCGGGTTTAAGACGTTAGGTATCTGGGCATCAGTGTACAGTTTAAGTGTTTGCAAAGCAAGATGAATTTAGGCTGGAGGAAATAAAGTGTCAGAGTCTCTGTCCCTCTTCTGTGTTTCTTTAGACAGAGAATGTATTGCTATCACTAGAGTTTATTCTGGAAGATTTTAAAAGGTCCATCAGACATTGCAGAGATAGTTGCAGAGTGAAGTTTTTTCCCTCCAAATTTCCCCTCATGGCTTGGTGTTAATGAAAACGACACCCAGGGGAAAATGGAACACTTTTCTGCTGAAGCGAATCAGAGCAGCAGTGTTGGGAACCAAGTATTTGGGCTGTCAGGCATGAATCTTTGTCCCTCCGATTTTAGGGAGAGGAAGAAGTGGTAGCAGAAAGCGCGGAGTGAGGGAAGGGCAGTCAGGCTTCCCCATGGAGGGAGGAGATCGGTGCAGCTGAGTGAAACTGCGTGGTCAGCACAGGGTACTCTTTCATGGTCGTCTGGCTAATGAGATGACTGTGAAATGTGATTGAACTTTAACATCTGTCAACTCCGAAGATGACAGCAAAGCATTAGTGTACAGCAAACAAATCCGTTGGACATGCTGGCTGCCTCTATCTTTACCTCTAGTCTGGCAGGAAGTCACTCATGTTTTAAGGCTCAGAGTGTGTCAAATACTGTGTAGAGAGCATAGGGCACCAAAGGGTTAATACATTGCTCAGAATCTTGTTGCTTACTTGGGAAAGAAGTTAGCCTCTAAAGTATGTTGTTAGGTGTTTACATATCTATGAGCTTATCTGTGTGTACGTAAAACCATAATAATTAAAGAAAATGAGGCCATGATTATGAGAGAGGGAGGGAGAGAGAGAGACACACACACACAGAGAACACATAAGGAGTTGGAGGGAGGAGAAGAAACAGGGAAATGATATTTTGGATCACTTTTGGAAATGATCCAAATTTGGATGAGTGAAAAAAAAATCAGATGAGATAAAAAATAAAATAAAAATAGGGGTTTATCTGGCCTTGGGAAAGAATGAAGCTACTGTTTTCACCTTGATCTCTTAATGACTGGAGATGCCTGGACTCCAGACCTCATGTTACTTCAGCTTGACACTTGCATTTTAAAGATGAATAAACACACTTGTAATTGAAAGTTTCAATGCCATCGAAAAGACAGAAGGTTCATGTCAGCCTTCCAAGAGGGAGCTGAACTCAATTTTATATTGACACTCGACTGTTAATGTTCCTTTCAGTGTGCAAATATTATAATAATGTTGTTGGTGCCAGCCACTGTAATGAGGTCCTTCGGCCTCTGAGTGTTAAAATTAGAACAAAGTAGTTTGCATTTCTTGCCTGGATGACTGCTCTAAAGACATTAAAGTAGGGGTTCACTGTGCTAATGTGACTTCCAAACTAATATTCAAGTTTTAGAAGATATACCAAAGCTACACACACACACACACACACACACTTCAACCCTGAAAATTAAATTCACGCTCAACCACAAAAATGTATATACGTTACTTTAGGGAAAACACGCCTATTTTACTTATACACACATTTTGTTTCCAAATCTCCTTGTCTAATTTAAATTTCTTTTGGTATCAGATCAAATGGATTGTCTCTTAATTTTTAATTTATTTCACCATCTGGGGTAACCCATAAACAAGGATAGAAACATCTGCTGTTGAGACCAGGCTTAAAGACGTTACGGGTGAGATACGATGTCTCTATCTTGATTTCATTTGAAAATTGAAATACTGTTTCTTCCTTTGTTAAGGTTGGCATTGAAAATAGTTTTTCCTATCCGTCCCACCACCACCCTTGCCAACACATACACCTTCCTCAGGTATTCTTTTGCCTCTTTGCTCACGGCCTCCACTCCCCATATTTGCTCACGGCCCCAGTCCTCATTATCTGTCTGTAACTGAACGTACAGTTGGACACAGCATCTTCTGCGTTTGGCAGATCTGCCCCCAAGCTGCTTTTGCTTGGCTGTCTAGTCTTCATCCGAGTTTGTTTCCACATCACCCGGAAAGCCTTGTGCCCTGCCCCTGAAGCCTCTTTCTTTTAGGAAGCCTCACCAGACACCTTCCTCTCTCTGGCTTCTTCATAGACAGTTGCTGAGAGCTTCCCTGCCCAACTCACTCAGGTGGAGAAATGGGTCAGAGATAGCATCCTCCCTATTCTGTAGAAGTAAAGGAGAGGTGAGATGCAGACACCCGCTATCTTCCTTCCCCCTGCAACACTAAACCATATGCCACCTGTTTTGAGGAGCATATCTGGCCCTGAATGGCAAATCTCACTGCACCCCACATTCCTGTCACCAGCTCAAAGGCTAGCTCTTCAGCCTTTTAACTTATGCAGTGTCCCTGTCTTACCAGCTAGGAAAACAGGCAAACAGGAATTCGACACCACCAAGGAAGGTACACTTCTTTGTTTCAAGAAACATTTGGTGTTCAAAAAAAAAAAAGAGTAAAACTCATTATCAGAAAAGTTAAAAGTCTTTTGGACTTCCTTACATATTTTGATAATAATACAGGTTTATCTTGATTCCATAAAGCAAATATGCAGTATTAGGCCCACAATGATGCTGTGACAAATTGCCACATGCTCAGCTCAGCGATCTGCAACAGCTCAGGTTTGTTATCTGGCAGTTCAGAAGGTCAGCAGTCTGAAAGGGGTCTGACAGGTCTTCCTTCCATCTGCAACACTGGGGAGGGTCTCTTCCTACCCAGGGTGCTCGCTGACCACCCACACCCATTGGCTTGTAAGCCAGAGCACTCTAATCTCTGCTTTCAGTGCCCTATCTCCCTCTCCAGTGCTCTTGCCTCCCTCTGATAAGGAGTCTGCGATGACACTGGCTCACCTCAATAAGGCAGGACAACCTTCCCATCTCGGGATGCCTCAGGAGCTCACATCCACCCAATCCTGTCAGCCATGAGTGCTGACATATTCAGCTTCTTAGATCAGTACCTGAGCATAACTTTGGGGCATTGTCCTGCCTGCTGCAGCTGCCACCCTCTGCCATGCTGTGCCTGGGCTACACCTGCCCCTGGCCTGAGAGGCTGCTCGTGATATGAGTAAATGACCTTTGGAACCCTGCTAATGGTAGAACAGATGATACAACTTCCTCAGTAGCTCATGGTTCACTCCTCTCTCTGGCCATATTACACAGCCGCTTCTCCTTGGTACCCTTCACCGGGCCATCATCTCCCTCCTGCAGAAGTGTGTGTGGCCTTGCTGCCCTCCAGCTTTCTGGCATTCTCTGTCGACCCTCCCTATCCTTTCTGTTGAATATCAAGAAGGAGTCCTTTGCAGTTTATGCTGTGT